TTATTTCTATACGATTGCATGCAAAACTGATGGGACCACTTGCTCATTTCTAATTAACCGAAACTTCCAATTAAGCGACTTCGAATTACCGGGAGTCGACTGTAATGTTATAATAATTTGGCTGACAATGTCGCTGTTTTAAAAGTAGTTAAATAAATGTGTGTTGTTTTGGTTCGTTCCAACCGTGTCTACTGTGTCCGTTCACTAATAGAGCGTGGCACTCTTCACTTCGAAACGCCCCACTCCTCAACTGGCTCTTGTTGTCGCTGTTATGTTTTGTGTAACGTCCAAATGGATAACATCCCCTCCCCTCGTGCATTGTATGTTGTTCATGCTGGAAAAAGCGTGCAAGTGGGGCTAATGAATGTGACTGATGCAGAGATGAAAAGAGCCAACCTATCTTCTACTTTTCATTGTGTCATTGTCACATAGGTTACTGTCTGGAATCGTGCGGTGTAACGTCTAACAGTTATTTAAAAACTCTTGAATGACTTCAAAAGCGCAAACTGAAAATCATAAGCCAAGGTGAATCACTATGTAATATTTTCCAATCACAACACATTTTCTCGGTTCCGGTGTAAATAGCATAATTAATAGAAATTCATCTTTGGCTGCTGATCTTTTTTCAATTCCTAATCGCAATACACGACATGCTTCGAATGGTAATTTCGATCTGCCCAAATGTTTTGATGTTTACTGAGAAAGACTGATACAGTTTTATGGAACAAAAATATGGAACAGGATCTCCCTAGAGATTACAACAGCATGTAATTTCAGTATGGCATATAAATTGTTTTTTCTGTGAAGTCAAGACATGTAAGCTTGTGTGTGTTTGATTCGATTTTCACTGTATTTTTTTAATAAGTGCCTATGTATAGAAAGCTAGCTGCAAGCTAATAAGTATGCATGTCTGCAGTTATCTGTATTCACATGATTGCTTTTGTTTGTCACCTCAAAGCTTACCTGTACACTTTTTTATGTTGCACATTGTATTGGACCGTCCACTAGCCACTGTAGGCTATCGGTCCAAATAATCTCTGTATTTGCATATATCTATTCATGAAAATAAAGTTTCATTGATTGATAGATTGATTAATTGATTGCACGAAAGGCGCATGCCATAACATCACCCTGCATGTCAGCACTGCCATACATTGCTACTCTAGCAGAGAAACATGCCCCAACTTTTTTCAAGGAGCATGAAGGAATACAGGGGGGAGGAGTGTCACCAGAGCAGCAACTGTGAACTTCCGCTGACACGCGCTATTTCAGCAGGTTTCAGAAATGGCTCTTTCTTCTACGTGTACAACTGTCACCACAAAAAATACTGCAAAAATGTTTCACACCCTGGAATTGCCACAAAGGGTTCATGCACTGAGCGTTGATCTGCAAGATGGCAACATCACCGCACCATTGGTTCTGTATGTGCATCTGCATGCAAGAAGTGTTCTGGGCTCGCTAGTCACCCATGTCGACGTACGGATCTCAAACACAGCGAATGCAGCAAGTTTTTTGAGCATACGGCGTGTGTGCGGATTTTCAAATGGCAACCTGGCCGCCCACTAGTGCTCTTCGCAGATGACGTCAAGCCTTACTTCATATAACAATACAATTTGTTGGTATTGCATTCAATGACAAAAGCTTAAGGGAAACTAACAAATTGTACCTTTGGGAGCAGATCTTGCGTAACTCAAAAGAACGCTGGTTAAAAGGACTGTGGCCGCTTGAGGTGCCGATGCGGTTTTCGTACTATCACCTAGGCTCACACTTGCAGGAACCAGGTACAGACAGATGTGCCAAAACGATGTAGACTCTGATAGCACAAGTTTACGAGCTGTTTCATAATGCCTCGAGATAGCGCGCACCAGCGACTATGCCCTTCACGCGACGCAGCCGCCCATCCTCCAGAATGGAGCAATGAATGCAATGCTGTCATGCTGAATATTTTTTAACCATCAGCTATTGGTTCTAGGAACTAGAGGGGCAGATATGTAACAAGGCCTAGCCCTTCGACAGTAAGCCGTCCTTCCTACACCACGACCATCAGCGATGGGACCTCTACTCAAAGCTGAGTGTATTAAAACCGAATTGCAGCTGCTACAACCAGAAGGCGAGACGACATTTTTAAAAAAGCACGCAAAAAATTCACACTAGGACCCTATCACTCACTAGCTCGTAAAGGACAGGGCTTTTCAGGGGGCTTTTACTGCAACAGTGATTAAAGCGCAGATGTGCTGGTAGAAGGAATTACGAAAAACCTCTTCCCATGAATGAAGCATATTTGAGGAAAAGTGTAAACATGTTCCCACAATTCACATGCCCTTTTGTGAGTCACTGCAGAGAGCACATTATGCCATTGAGCTGACTTGCACAACAAAACCTGTGTCAACACCAAGCGTAGCCCCGTGGATTATAAGGGACGCACGCGTGACCTCTGATAATTATGCAAAATAATTCTAGGTATACGTGGTTGCAACTTTGGCAGCCCAGACAACAAGCTGCACATCTTTTGACCCACCGGTGTGGCTATTGCCAGTGATAGACTACCCCGAAATCTGAGACTTTGGCACAGTTTGGTGCAATCTCGGTTCATATTATCACGATGGCGCAGCAAATCCGATTTGGCGCACTTTGGTGCAGTTTGGTGCAGGGGTGGAATCACTGTACGAAGGTATATAAGTTGCAGTTCGTTAAGGGGGGACGAGGATAGCACGATATTGTAAAAAGAGCCGACCTTAAAAAATTGCAATTCGAGGTATTTATAGTCGTAAGTATGTTTTAGAAAAATTTAATATTTTGGTAAAATGCCATTTTTTTTTTGCTAAAAGCTTGATATATGAAATTATAAATGTTTTTAAAACTGAAAACATAATTTTCTAGGCATTGTCATTTTTGTGACGTTTTGAGCAACATTCTGTGAAGATTTCTAAACAAACTTGGTACCATTCTTTTCCACAGCACTTGAACTACAGGCTAAGGCTCTTCTTTTTCTCTCAACAGTGTAATAACCAAATTTACTTGCGTAATGAAAGCACTCGCATAATAAACGAACCCACAACTTCACTCATCAAAATTAATATTTTCCCCGGAGTAATAAACGCACCCCCTTCATTCATCCGCTGCAGTCCCGCTAACGGACACCTGACGCCTTCTTACACGTTGGATTTTTTCCGTTTTTCATTATTTTGCCCACCCATATCGGCTCGCTTACACCCTCCCCTTCACCCGTTGCCACAGGCCGCATAGTTTGTCTTTATATCTGTGCGCAGCATGTCCCCGTCTTTTTCATCTGTGTGCCACAGCGGCGTTCACAAATGGTGCGAGTGTAAAGACGTCACAGCTGATAAGCACACAGTGAGCGAAGGTCACGAAACTGCCCATGCCAATCGATGCGGGCAGTTTAAAAAAAGGCCAATACATGCTAATGTTGTTCAGGTGATGACGACAAGATTTGCTGTCGCGAAGGGTCATTCATCACTATAGTGTCGCAGGTTTCTGGAAAATCTGAAAAAATCGCTTGTTGTCTAGAAAAGATTGTGATGATTTCGGCAGCAGGGTAGCATCCCCAATTCTCGATTTACTTGTTATCCGTGCATGGAGGAACTTCTCATGTAAAAGCAAGGCAGCAGCCTTATTTTGTCGTTAATGTAGCTGTGGACAGTTTGTTTTGATGCTTCGGGGGTAGCTTGCTACAATGTTGGCTACTTGCTACAATGTTAACGGTGTTGTCAGGGTCATTACGGTCATCGTGCGAGGTTGCGTCGAAGTTGGCAAATTGGGTCGTAGCATTGTAGCGCACACTTTTGGGCGCCCCTCAAGAATAGAGCAGACCACTGTTGCGGTTAAACAATTGTGAGAAAAGATAGCCACAAAACACTTTCATGGCGTGCGCGGGCGGCCTGGGGACAGCTTGCAGAAGATGACGCGATCAGCCACGGATGATGAGTTAAGCGGAACAAAGAAGCTGTTTTCAAACAGTGTATGTGTATGTCGATTGCAAAAGGATGTTGGTTACTTGCTACAATGTTAATGGCGTCGTCATGGTCGTCGTGCAAGCTTGCCGCGAAGTTGGCAAAGTGCATCGTGGCCTTGTAGTGCACGCTCTTGGGCACGCCTAAAGATCACAGCATATGCCACTGTTGCGGTTCAACGATTGCGAGAAAAGATAGCCGCAAAACACTTTTATGGCGTGCGCGGGAGACCTGGGGTCAGCTTGCAGAAGAGAGCACCATCAACCACCGAAGATGAGTAAAGTGCAACAAAGAAGCTATTTCCAAACAGAGTACGCGTATGTCAATTGCGAAAGGTTAAGCCAGCTAACTATTTTTTGCATTACCACATCTTTTGCTCCTCTCGAAAAAGTTACATAAAATTTACCCCGCGTAGTAAACGCGCCCCCCAACTTTGCTCCGATTTTTCAAGAAAAAAAAGTGCATTCATTACGTGAGTAAATGCGATATATAAAAAATACCAGCTAATTACTGGAAGCTCGTTTCTACCTGCCAAGTTTTAAATTATTTCTGATCAAAGAAGTAACTGTTCTGACATCTAGTTTGCTTTAGCCTGTGGGATGAACCTTTTAGAAGAAACATGTAGTTTTGAAAACTTTTTCTATAGCAAGTTACCATTTCGACCCGTAAAGAATTACCTAACTAAAATGCGCAAATTTATCATTACTTCTTTTCTAAATGAGATATCTGAAATCTCCATTCAATGATACACATGTATGGTAATTTTCATGACAGTAGGATAAAAAATTTTAAAAGTTATAATAAAAAAGTTTTTTTCATACCCTTGTCCCCCCTTAACGATGAGCCATTACCCAAATCAAACCTGTTTATATCCTTAAAAGGGGCAATTGTATTTTGTATGCTTTAGTCAACGCTGTATGCAAACCTTGCCGCTACTTGTGCCCGCGAACCATCCTGCACTATTCCCTTTGAACTAAACCAATACTTTTGCAAGCCCTTCCTGAACGAGAGAGAGCCAGTCACACTCACTTGTTGCACACAGCTTGGATGAATTCCAGTGCCATGCCCTTCAGCTTGGCATTGCCCGGGCTGTTAAGCGTGTCGAAAGTGACCTGCAGCAACAGTGCAGAAAAAGCACGGAGTGTAAGTCGAGTGAGCAAACATCAAATGAAAACACAAACAACCAAGAACATGAGACAAAGCTTGATAAACAAAATGAGACAAAAGAATCAGAGATATCAAACTTGGATACATCAAATTATTGGCTATATAAAGAGTTGACAAGTCCCCTTGAACATTCAATGCAAAAGTAGGGAGCTGGTGCACAAACACACTGAACACCTGCACAAAGAAACTTCCAATACTATATCGAATGCTGCCCCCTGTCAAAGCCCCACAAGTGCACTTTTCATAAAAAAACACCAATCATCTTTTAGCAGTGTTCTAAGAGGTTGTCGTTTCTTTTTCACGCCTTAGATGCAGTGTGACTGCCGTGATGGTTTGGCTGTATGTGCAGCACTTGTGAGTGCATCTGCATGTTTAATGCACAATCAGTAGATTGTCCCAGTTGCATCCTATCCCAGGTGAAAATTTCCTGCTCGCTTTCTGCTGGGAGCTGCTGGTTTCCGGTGGAACCAGCAACTAACCTGCCGGTTATATTGGTTCCAGCAGTGGGCTTAATGGTTTTACGCTGGTCCCAGCAGCCAACCCATTTACTGTACTGGTCCCAGCAGAGTGCTTAGTGGTTTTTTCATGCTGGTTTCAGTAGGTCACTGGTTTTCTCCCGTAATGCTGCTGGAACCAGCAGCTGACTTGCTAGTTCTAAGTTGGCTTGACTCAGTTCCATCAGTGAATGCACCCAGTGACATTATAGCATCGCGTGCATTCATAATAAAATCCGTCAAGGTGATAAAGCGAGCTAGTTGGTTGCGATAGCTGGCATTTGTTTCTGTAGCCCGAAAAATAGAGGCAGGACAGCGCCGCCTCTCTTCATCATACCCGTGTTTTATTAATTTTAATTTATTTTTTTTTAACTACAGAAATTAATGCCAGTCATTATTAAAGACAATTTAGAATGGTTGCCATACGGGGTACATGATGCACATTTTACCATGACCTCAAGTGTTCATTCTCTATGGCTAAGAAACCAAATATATACATCACTGGGAAGAAAACGAAGCTTTTTTCAAGTTTTCGAAATCTCGAATAAGCGAAATATTGAATCCAGTACCCCATTGGCACACAATAACTGCTAAGTTATACGTCCAATTGTAGGTTTAATTATATTAAGCAAACCAGTAGCTATAAGACTGTGCCTTTGTGCACAATCTTATAGCTACTCTGGTTACGTGCATGGTAGACACTTCGCTGAAGCGCGGTGTGCTGGCACAGGCTGCAGAGCTTCTCCTAACTACAAGAAGGCTCCCAGAGCATATCTTGTCCCTGACTATGAAGCAGTGCAAAACCTTTTAGAACTACATGCGATATTATCCTTTTTTTTAATACGATTTGAGCAAAAACGAGAAAAAAATATTCATAGATGCATATATGAGAACGCCAACCTATGCGGAGTGAGCTGGCTTATGAAAAGACGTAACGCTAGATGAAATAGAGAAGTTCATATGAAACTTCATATATAGAGAAATTATTCACACCACAGGTGTCTAATGAAACGCATAGAGACTTTCTTTTTTTAATTAAATTATCACAAGACAACAAAAGTTTACTGAGAAAAGAGTAGGAGTACACTTGTGTCTCATGAAAAACTATGCAATGCTTCACCGCACGGCACGAGCAATGTAGCAGCACCTCGGTTCTGATTTTCTTTGTCTATGTGAAGAGGAACATTTTGTACAGCATTCATTAGTTTTTACGCTGTTTCCTGGGTCATTTACCTACAAAATGTATATTCTAAATTTTCCATGTTTTGATAGATGAAAGTGCTTGACAGCGCAAACGACAGGAGGGGATAGAAGACGAAGAGACGAGCAGGTGTAAAAATGTTATTGCAAAATGGACTGAAATTCTGCGAGCATCCAAAACTGGACAAGGTGGAGCTGCTTGGTCTCGTAAGAAGCACCGTTGGAGGAGCAAAAGATGACAAAATTGGTCGACTCGTCCAGGAGGGAGTCGAGTGCCTTCCGCAAGGCGTCAAGACGGCTCGACAACGGTCTAGTGCCGTGGTCACCAGCCTACGAAGGGCCGAGGTCAAGCTTCTCCAATTTGATAAGGAAGGAGGGTTTGTGCTTATGCTGAAACGTTTGTATGAAAGCAAGGCTGAAGAAGCCATGCAGAAGAATTTCAAGGTGCTCCCAGCCATCAAAGAAACTAGAGTGAGGACGCAAGCGGCAAAACTGTGCGATGAAGCGTGGCTAACCACTTTGGCAAAGTCCTTAAAAATGGCAAAAGGCCTGAGCCTCTCGGTCTTTTTTTTCCAGTGAAAACACACAAAGAAGGCAATCCCTTCAGAGCAATCATTTCCGAGCCCGGTACTTGGCAGCATCCTGTTGCCTTGTATCTGCAAAGGTCTTTAGCAGTCCTGCCCATTGATGAGTCTTGTCGAATCAAGAGCGCAGTCACCGTCAGTGATTACCTCCGGACTGAGTGCCCAAAACGATTAAGTGCCTTCTCTGTTGATGTCAAGGACTTGTTTTATTCTTTACCTCATGACCTTGTGTGCGATGAAGTCAGCCAGTGCATTGAGCCTTAAGGCTGCACCTAATTTCAGAATGCATGTGGAATTCTTGTTCACAGGTCTTTATAACTACTGCGCTTTCATCTAGTTTCGACTTTTGTACTTCCCAAGAACACCTTCTACACTCCGCGGGAAGGAGTGTACACTGGCTCTTGTTTAGCTCCAGTTCTTAGTGACCTTTTACTCGCGCGGTATGACAGAAGTCTTATGGCTAACCTTCATCAGACAAGCACAGTTAAAGTGTTCGGCTACGTTGAAGACTTTTTAGTGTTTTGCCCCATCGACCAATTTGACCCCTGACAAACCATCGGTGAGATTTTTTGACGTATTTCGGCATAAAACGAAGCAACTTGAATTAATGTCGTAGCTTATTTCTGATGAGAAGCTATGATTCCTAGACTTAGAAATGCTTTTTTTGGTGGACCATGTCTGTTGGCAGTAGGAGCCACGCTCAAAGAAAAGCCTTCTTATTAAGTGCGCCCATTCTAAGCTAGTCAAGCGTGGCATCGCTTTTTCTTGCCTAAAAGCAGTTCTAACTCGCTCTTGTCACCACCAGGTAGAATGTAGTTTTTCAAAGCAAGTTCATCGTCTTCAACAAGCAGGTTTTTCTAATTCCCTCCTAACTTCAATCGCCGAGACTCTTCTTACGTCACTAAGAGTGCCTGATAAGGAACAAAGCAACAGCCTACTCAACAAACCACATTCCAGCACAGCTGTTATTCTCTATGTATACGAGGTTTCCCATGGGCTAAAAAAGATCACTGGCAAAATAGGTGTACGAGTTGTGTTCTGCGCACGCGACAAACTCGCCGGGCTATGTCGCAGAGTTAATATTGAAGGACCTAAGAAAGAAGCATGCACCAAAAAACACGCTACGCGCTATGTTGCATGTGTTTTAGCAATTGTATACAAGATATTGTTTACATGCGGGCTTTGTTACATTGGCCAAACAGGCCGATCCATCAATGATCGGTTGAGGGAGCACGCTTACTCTCTAAAAGGCTCCTCCCAGCCACTTGGCGGACCATTGTAAAAAGTGTGTGATCAGCGCGAGCGCGAGATTAGCGAAGCCTTCCACATTAAACAATTTGGTGCTTTCTGTGTTAGCAAACCTTCGATTTTTCTTCACGGCTGTGAATTTCATTATCTAGGGTCCCCTGATATGACTGGCTCTTGATTAAGTAGGCCATTCGGCTTGTGTATGTCTGATTTTGCTGATGTTGCGTGGTTATGCGGAGATTCTGTTTTTCCTATATATTGCACTTGGATTGCAATAAACTTTGGTTGTTAGTTCAGCACTCTGTTCTCGTCTCCTATATCCTCCTGTCGTTTGCGCTGTCAAGAACTTTCTTCGTCTACCATGCAGCACCAACCATCCCAATCAAGCACCTTGTTAAAGTCTATGTTTTGAATATTTTTGCATATATAGTGTTTTTTTTTTTTGCACTGTGTACCATCTGGCAACCAAGAATTTCACCCAATCTCACATTTTTATTTATTCCAAAATATTTTTGCTGCTCTACAACATATATTTATTAGAAAGAGCATTTAATTGTGCAAAGTTTGATATGCTTTGAAGTGTGCTGAAGTACTTTTCAAACTGGCAAAAACTATATTCTTGAGACATATGAAAAACAACCATTTTCGCCCTGCAACGAAAGAGTTAGAGCTGCAATAAAGCTTGCAGCTGATAATATGCAGCTTCAATTTAGCTTATTGTCAGCTTTGTTGCTTGGAGGTATGCTCCATGACGGCAAGTTACAAGTTGGCCGACGGCCTGCAACACTGTGCTGGAACCACCAGCTACTAGTTCCATTAGCTACTGGTTCCATCAGCTGCTGCTTCTATCACCTGCTGGTTTCATCACCTGCTGGTTCCATCATCTACTGGTTTCATTGTCTGCTGGTTCCATACTCGAACCAATAGCCAACCAGCAGGAAATTTTTGCCAGAGATTACCAACCCAGGCCACTTTTTTAGGGGCCAAAGCAATCGTAGAGAGCCAACAAAGGGGCGTACAATGCCATTCCTTTAGATGCGAAGGCATTTTTTAGTCGGGCTATGTGAGGCATCCGGCGGTGTCCGCGCGCCGGCAGGCATTTTCTTCTCTCCCATAGCAACAGCTGTGTACACGCGCGCTTATCCTTGGCCCTAGCAACTAGAGCATGTGGTGGGAGAATGTAGGAGGGAGTAGGTGCAGCGCTTCACCGCTCTTTCTATGGCCGTTCGCCCTCTGTCCTCCCTGCACCCCACTCTCCCTTTCGCTGGGGCCTCACTCTCGACCCTTCACTGGCTGAGCGCCTCTCAAACACATCTAGAAATGTGTGCTCGAAACGCCGCTGTGAAATGCCAACGCCAAGCCGAGAATGCTGGCGCCACAGTCTCCCGTCCGCTCGCTTTTCACTCTCGAAGGTTCATC